GACTTCCTTGTGAAGGGCGCCACCTTGTTTGGTTCTCCGATGAGAAGTGGCCCCAAACCCGCTCCAATTAATCAGCGTTTGAGGTTCATCAAGAGTTATAGATTGGAAAGGAATGGCATCAAACAGTAGATCTAGTTTTAGGGTTCTGGGTGTGATGATGGGGGATTGCCGATTGGAGGTCTACTACGATGAAGGGGATTTTCCCAATCTGGATCGACATCTAGGGACTGTGAATTAGGATAAGGGATTGACGATTGGAAGGAGTAGATGGAGGAGACAAAATCAAAGAGGGATTCTTCTTTATTTCACAGACCAGGCCTAACGACGACGACTATTGACAAAGAAGAAGAAGAAGAAGAAGAAGAAGAAGAAGAAGAAGAAGATTGTTGATAGATTATGCTTGTTCAGGACTTTAACGGCGATAGTAAAGACAATCCCCTATTGACGCCTTCGTTAGTCGTTGCTGATAGGGTTTTTTCGCTAAGGAATAAGGGCTAATGGTTTTATAGTTAGGACTTGTTTGGGTCTAGTTGAGACCCAAATTTTGTTTTGTATCCTTTGAAATGGGTTTACATTGGACCCAAATTAATTGATTGGGTATGAGTCCATCCCAAATGAAATAATATCCATACCTAACTTGACCCATTATAATATGGGTTTGGGCAATACCCAAATACTGGGTGGGTCTTCTTAAAATCTGCTTGGAAAAGTACTCCAACGAGTTGTATCATTAAATTTTGGTATGCATTTTGTGAGTAGGTGTGAGGAAAATAAGAGGGTGTTGCATCCATTTAATAGAGGACCAGCAGCCTTGTGACGATGAATATCGTCTTCCTTTTCCTTGCACACAAAACAGACTTGTTGGACTCCTTTGCGTAGGAAAAGATAAATCAAGGACAGTTGGGGACTTCACCATCAACGACCTAGTGATGGTGCCAAGTGTTGTTACCTTTTTCCTTCCAGGCTGCGGATTTCTTTCCTTCTTCTTGCAGGAAACATTGTCTGAGGGACTTGGGGATAGAAAGGTGTGGTGATGTTGTTGTGACTTCTTCCTTAATCCTTTTTGGATTTGCTCTCCTTTTGCTTGGATGATACTTCGAATAGAGAATTTCTAGACGCCATTGGGATGCCATGATCCATTTCTCCTTTCATTTTTCTTTGGATTTAAACGAAAACAAAACAAATGGTGAAAGTAACAAAACCGAGAGAAGGCAAGTGCTAATCCTCCTCAACATAAATGTGAAAATAATAAGCAAAAATCATCCATTGATTCGTCTCACAACTGTTTCTATATAGGCATCTCTTAGTAATTAATTCAGGTATTTGGGTCTACCTCATACTTTATGCATTTGAATTTGTTTCACACAAGTAGAAATATCAAATTTCATTTCAACATTAGAAGTGCAAACTTCAGTTGATTGCCATCCTTCTTTCTGTTTTTTTTTTATGATAGGCCATGAAAAAAATGGCACATTAGTCTCCTCCTTGCACATTTTACTGCACAATTTGATTTTGCATTGCGATTGTTTTAGAGTCAATAGCTTGCTGCATCACCACCATACTTGGCTCGATTCCACACTTCTCATCTGATAACTCCATCTCGCTGAGATCATCCTCTTCTTCTGGGAACTACTTTGATGCTTCTACCATCATCCTCTATGATGGATTTATTCTGATGCTTAGCGCTTGATGGCTACCGCTTGCTTTCACCTTTACTTCTTTTGGGTTAAAGTACTCGAATAGAGATAGGAAACCCATCTTTCTTCATGTAATTGACTCGCTATGACACAACTCCTAAAAATGGCCAAGTGTAACCAATGAAAGAGACTGCAGTATAGTGGCTCAAGTAATAAATATCGAATCCACAGGTCTCTAGAGTTACTATTACTCAGCTTCAGTTCATTATCTAGCAAACCAGATTAAGATGAAAGAACTAAAACTACTCTAACAAACTACAATTAAAGTTAATCTAATTACAGGTTGGGAACTCACTTAGGTATGATTCCCCCTAGCCACTAGCCAGATTAATGATTGATGATTTCTAACTTGTTTCACTTTCATTCACAATACGGATAATCCTTGACTAGACCTTGAATCTCGATTAAAGGATCACAGCCCTCTTGAGTCGATTGCCTAGAGGGACGTATCCTTCTCTAGAACAACCTATCAAGGCATTCTGAACTAGACTCCCTCTATCGAATGAGGTTCTCAATCGCTACAAAGCAGTGAATCGACCCTCGACTAAAGCAATCGATCCAATACTATCAATCTATGGTGCTCTATTGACCTAATTAGGTATTCGCTCTCATAGGATCAAAGCAGAATCAATAATCTCGACTAAAGCAGAATTGAATCATGAAAATGTGCATAGATTGAATATGAACTCAAGATTATCAAGTAGGAGTACTCATACAATCATCAAATCAAACAAACATAGCTAGGGTTCCTCAAAACCTAAGTGAAGGGAAGTTACTCCATAGAGAAGAGAGAGAATGCAGTAAGAATCTTCAGATGATCAGTCTTCAAGTCTGGGCTTGTTCCTCGAGATTCCAAGGCGAAGAAATCCTCCAATTCCACTCCAAGAATGCCCTCAAATCGCCCTCACTCTCTTTGGTTAGTCCCTTGGGTGTTTGGGATCCTAAACCCAGCTCTACCCCTTGCAAAACCGCACAAAACAGGCTTTTAACAGCCTGCGTTCGCGATCCCCGGTCATAATCGCCGGTCGGGTATTTCGGGTGCCCGGCCGGGGATTTCGAAACGCAGCGCAGCGGTACAGAGGATAATACCCGATCGAGGTCAAGAATACCCGATCGGGTATTTTTGCTCTCTGGACGGGACCCCTTCTGTTTCTATACGTCCAAAATCGATTTTCCCCGGCCTCTCTTAGAGATTTACCCGGCCGGATATTATTACTCATGGCCGGGTATTTTGCTCCTCCAGCCCCCTTCAACTCAAACGTCCTCCTTTTGACCCGAAACTCGTTTCCTCGCCTTAACGTCAACGCCAAGCCCTGAAATATGACATAAACACACAACCTAGCGTGAAATCGGCTTAAAACACGAGAATCTCTTCTCTAACAACTCAAGAATAGGGGTATAAACATGTGTAATTATTGGTCTATCAGTAATGCTCGATGATTCTAGATCCATTTTTCTTCTAGTATCACGTCCTTGTAGGATCTACAAAACCGAACAAACTAGAGCGTAATACCTCGAAGTAAAATCAAACACAAGATGATTAGCTTTTTCAAATACTATAAAAACACCTTCGGCAATGGTGCCAAAAACTTGATGTAGTAACATGTGATAAACCTATAAACGCCTAAGGTCGTGTTCCATGAGTCTGTTAATGGAAGTTACTCAAAACCAACAAATTATACTCAAGATAACAATGTAAATTAAAGCTGGGTTGATGTTCTCTATTAGATGGTTGACACTACTTACTAATGAAAGCAAATAAATACACACAAAAAACAAAGATAAAATACATTGTTAAGGTAGTTTCATATAAATGATCATGCATACAATCTCGTCAATGATAAGCATCAATGCATCTACATGCTCCCAATTAGGAAACCCTTTCATAAGAACTCACCCAACAAAGCACCCCTCCCCAAATCCCCAATTTTCTTATGTGCTTCATCCCTCTACTGTAAGCCTTGGTATGTCTAGCCACATACTCCCAAATTACAAGCATTCTTATCCCCAAAACTTCAATCAACCACTTGCAATTTCTAATTGCAACACTCAATCCTACTATAGAGTCATAAGTCCATTAAAACAGAGACTTTCAAATACAGAGTGACAGATCATGGCATTTATCAAATTGTGCTAATTGAAGAAAAGGAAATACCAACATATTCCCTTAAATTGGGTTTTCAAAATAGGGATCAGGAAAACAGAAGGCATTTCGATAACAACCTAGAAATATAATTCCTAAAGTACTGCACATCGAGAGGGAATAATCAAAAGGAATCATTCTTTTGTGATTCTATGGTTCTTAAGGGGAGGACAGACACATATGGGGGAATGGAGGAAAATACACACCTGGATGGAGAAGAATTCTCAATCGGCGACGATGACATGAAATGTCAAAACTTTTGATGTTATTGCTGGATTCATCTTCTCCCTGCTCAAGAGCTACTGGATCGAGTTGCTTCATCTTCCATTTTGTCATCCTTTACATCTTTATTCATTTTTCTTATGTACATTTTTATACAAAAGGAAATAGGAGGCCGGCTTGATAATTAAAAAACTATGTGGGAGATAAAAGAATAAATTACTATACAGATCTGCTAACCTCACCCAAATCCTACCAAAAAGGCTAAAATATGCAAGTCCATGAGGCCCACAAATTTGGATCCTCAAAGTCTATTGGCCCCACATATTTGATCCCCCTAATTCCATGAAGAAAACAATGGACTTTTATCAAAGTCCAAGAGGGATTATTTTTGTTCACCGAACCCATGACCAAATCCATCAAGAAAACTAGGCCTAAATGATTTGTAATCTTTCATAGATAAGCTTAGTCTTCCCTACTCCTTCTCCTCCACATGTGTTTGAACCTTGGATTTGTTCTCCTCGTGATAGTGTTGATCTCTTCTATCCTTGTGTGAACCTTGGATTTGTTCTCCTTGTTATATTGTTGTTCTCTTCTATCATCTCATGTTCACGCAATATGAACAAGGTTTCTTCATTAGTTTTCTTTACTAGTATTACTTTCCATAGTAGAAGGATTGAGCAAAGTAGTAAAACGATGAACAAATTACTAAAGGGTCATTCGGATTTGAAAATTTGGTGAGATATTTTGCCACAATCCCTCATTTGGAAAGAGATAAAAAAAAAGAGATATTTTAATGAGATAAAAAAATGAGATATTTTAATGATGGTGATTTTGAAACCCCAATGTTAGGAAATTTGAATATCCATTAGATATTTCAAAATCTTTCACTATTTTGTCACAACCTTTTCAACTTATCCCAACTTATTTTATGCTAATGTTTTTTTGCCCTCAGTTCATTATTCATCAAGCAATCTTATTTCAAACTCTCATTCTCTTCTATCTCCTCCGTCCCTATACGAGACTCTCATTCCCTTGTGACTCCAGCGTAGTTTCTAGGGCTGGCCGTTCGGTTAGCGGTTATCAGTTAACCGACTGGTTAAACCGATAACCGCCGGTTACCGGTTAACCGAAAATTAAGGCGTCGGGCGGTTGTCGGTAGCAGGTTCTACTGTGCTGGTTAACCGGCTAACCGACGGTTGTAACCGGTGGTTAACCGGCTAACCGACGGTTGTAACCGGCGGTTAACCGCCTAACCGGCCAGCTAACCGGCAAGTGAGAAACGGCGCCGTTCTTCTGATAATCGACCCTCCTCTTCCCGACTTCCCCTGTTCGACCCTCTTCCCCTGTCCTAACCCTAATCGAATTATCGAAGGCACTCTTCTCCTTCTCTGTCGAGTGTTGCCGAGTGCCGACTGCCATTCTCCTCCCTTCTCCCTCTCCGTCCCTGAAGGGCGACGCTGGCGCCGCTCTACACCGTCACCGCCCCATTCTCCCTTCTCCCTTCACTCCTTTGCTCGCGAGTCGCGACCCAGCAACCGCCAGTCCGCCATGCAACGGCCCGTCGGCGCCACCACTCCTCTTCTCGACGGTAACCCGATCACCGATTCCCCCTTCCAGGCAGTGAAATCGGCGGCATCAATGACGGATGCGCCGATGTTGAGCACGCCGTAGCACCTCCCCGAAGGGCGGCGGATCTGGAGGACGGTGAAGGAAGGGGTGTCCGCCGGGGGAGAGGAGAGGGAGAGGTTGCTGATGAGGAAGCGGACGGTGCCGACGAGGGAGTCGCGGAGGCAGCCGACGGCGTAGATCTCGACGGAGACCCCCGAGGTGTCGTTGGAGAGGAAAATGGGTTTGGCCCCGCCGACGCGGTCGACCTGGATGCGGAGCTTGGCGGCGGAGTGGATCCAGACGACGTCGTAGGTCTGCAATTGGAGGAGCTTGGCGGACTGCGGCTTCAGGCCTTGGGCGGAGATCAAGTTGATCTCCAAGATTTTGGACTCCATGGCGGCAAGATTCGGGCGAATTGAAGAGAGGGGAAGAAAACCTTGGGAAGTGTTTAAGAGCCGGTCATGGCAGCTGGCAGGGGAACTTCGCCAGCGGGGAAAGATTGGCGGTGGGTGAGAGTGAGGAGAAGTAGGGGGAGCGGGCGAGGAAACTGAAAGTAACAAACCGGTTAACCGAGCAACTAACCGGTAACCGACCGGTCGGTTGCCGGCTAACCGAAGCATTCACTCGGTCGGTTGACGGTAGCCTTTCTCCCTGTATCGGTTAACCGGTAACCGGCATTTCAGTTATCGGTTATAACCAAACTAACCGAAATGCCAGCCCTAGTAGTTTCACCAGCTCCTATCTACAAAAACTCTCATATGTATTCCATTGATCAAAACTTTACAGGGCTTAGGTTCTAGGTGTGTCCTCTTCAAGGGAGCCACTGACCATAAACTATCTCGCTATTACTGTTCTATCTCGCTATGACTGTTCTTAGAACTCGAGGGATATTAGGCTCGTGATACCAAGATCATGAATTCATTAATTCAAGCTCTTGGTATTGAAACCATGATAATGTATTCCCTTGTACATCATATTCAAGACATCCAAACTGTTAATTCGATATTATGACGCTCTTGTCATTATATAGACTTTACAAGGTAAAATCTCCCTAGTGTTCGCTAGTTACTAATTTGGCATCGGAGGGTCTCCCAATGACGAAATCCTTGGTGATACATTTTGCATGTACCCTTAAGGAAACTTGCACAAAGGGGATGAGCATATTGTTGACTTATGAGGGATAACTTCATTGACGGATTAAATTTTAAGGACATGGCATCATTTGTTGCAAAACCGAGTCGCACCCCTGTTGAATTGTCATATGTAAGGAATATATCGATGTTGTGATCCAGGCTGGATGGTCATTTGAGTATTTTTTTTACACAAAACCTACTTCTCATATATTAGCAGGAAATTATTACATCATCTTGCCGCAACTGATTAATCCAAAACACGGGTGGTCTGTCAAACAAGACCTCTATGATATCCCATCTAGTCTCACTCTAAGACATGATATGTGTCGCATTGTTTCCATCTCTTTTTACATGACATATACCACCCCATAAAAACCAGTTTGTATCATATATCTCTTTATGTTTCAACAATGGTACCTAATTATGTATGAAAAATTTCCGCATTGTCCACCTTACTAACGAGAGTCAAGCAGTCAACTTCAAAAATTGGTTGTTGGACTTGTAAATAGCATGCCAGATGGGCTCCAAAATTTTGTCACTAAGGCTTCATCCATTTTAGCATAGTATGTGTCCCAGAAAATTTTTGTCGCATTTGTAATGAAGAGACCAGTTGGACCTTAGATGATAGTGAAGTTCTCACACACCACCACATACATTATCTCACCTTTGGTGGAATGTTCAAGGTCCAAATTGCAGACCACACCTTTTCCCCCCATCATTACGATTGCTTCCTCACTTTTACACCTCTGAGCCACCCGCTACAACCATCTCGCATTGTGAAATAAACATTGTCATTATTGATCTAAATCATCCTATCCCTCTCGCCATTCCCTAACAGCGGGATTTTCAAGATTGCATAAGTATTGGTCGTTGGGAAGCAGCTTTCTTCCAAGGGTACATCTCACTGTTCCATTTTTGGATCAATGAGCTTGCAAATAGTGGAAGCAATAGGCAATCCACGGGGAGCTAAGTCAACAAAGAATGTTTTTGTGCTCGGAATCCATATCTTTCTTTATATTTCAACATGTGATCCATCTCCAATCTGCTAACTTAGTCCTCTGCACATATAATCTTGTGCACCCATGAGACTGAACCAAATGAAACTTGGTCGACTTCCCATCGTAGTATCCAAAATCAACCCATATTTATGATATCTGGCTCTTAAAAATTGTGCAATAAGGCAATCTTGGCCTTGATGCCAAGACCATAATTGCTTAACTAGTAATACCATATTGAAACCCTTATGATCCCTGAATTTCATTCCGCCTTCTTCCTTCATAACCACAAGCTCCTCTCTACAAATCTGATGCGCTTTGAGAACAGGACCCTTCTAACCCACCAGAAAATTTTAACGAGGCTATGTATATTGTCTATGATACCATCCGTGATTTTGAAAACTGACATATCATAGGTGAATTGCGCTAGAGCAACCGACTTTATGACTACTTCCTTATCCACTACGCTCATCGCCATTTTCTTCCAACCTTATACCTTTTGTCGAACTCTCTCCTTCAGTCTCACAAATAACTCTTTTTTGACCTGCCAACCTCAGTCTTCCGACCTATATATTTTTCATGCTTCTCCACCATCTTCATTCCAAGTGTTGAGATCGCTATCAGTTTGTTGTGAGGCTTCACGTTGGCATCAAAGGAAACTTTTAATTTTTAAAATTCACAAGTTGTCTCAACTCCCTCTCGTATGATTGTTAGATATGTTTGAGTTCAACACCTACGTGTTGTGTAGCCCTAACGAAAAAGATACTATTGATACGTGCTTAATTACACATATATTTCTCTTTTTATCTTGATCTTTTCTTGGTAATTTGGGTTTGAAAAGCCCTCATATAAGCTTACTTTTTGATTGTTTGTTTGTATGTGCCATATTTAAGGTTCTAGTGCGTGGATGAGGCTCATGAGTGGATTTTGGATATTTGGAGGTTAGAAACAGAACAGAGGAGGGCCAGAGAGGGAATATTGGCCACCAGTCCAAGAATCACTGTCATGATTCTCCTCCTTCATGCCTTGAAAATTGTTCGGAGAATCACATGTCGATGTTGACAAAGCACGACAGTGAAAAGGGACAATAAGCACGTGAACCCTATGTTTCTCAAGTTAGGAATCATAGGCATGCATATGATAATCACGACCGGGACTTTCCAAAGGGTCATTATTGTGATTTCCCCTAAAGACCTAAGTGAAATGACGAGTTTTAGAGAATCACGAGCAGGAACACGAGAATCACGAACGTGATTCCAAATCGTGACTTTACCACTGACGGGTATAAAAGTGGTATGCAAATTTCAAAGAAAGGATATGAGTTTTACATTGAGAAACTGAATGAGGTAAAGCCTTAGAGAGATAAAGTGGCAAAGGATTGTTCTTAGAGCTGATTTGCAGGATTTATTCATCATTGAAGCTCGAGAATCAAGTCTGGAAGTGAAGATTGTCAATCGAATGCTGAATTCCACCACCATGATGTTCTTCCATTCCTCTTACGTAATTATTTCCTTCTCCATGGAGTAAACTTCCTCCTCACTTGGGTATGATGAACCCTTATTTATATGTTTGAATTGATTCTTTTTTTACGCTCTAGTGAGTTTGACTCTCAATTTATAATTTATTGATGCATTATTCAATTAATCATTTAAATCCTGGTCACATTGTTGTGATTTCTGCTTTAACTTGGTAGAGATAAAATTTGAATAGGTTGATTTGAGCAACTCAATTGGTTATAGGGAATTGATTGCAGGAGAGTGAATCGATTCACTACTTTGCATCGAATTTCAATCAAATAGTGAGAATCTAGAGTGTATTGCCTTGCTATTCATTCTTAGCTAAGGATAAAATCCCTCAAAGCAGTCTATTCAAGAGGGTCGTGATTGCTTCAATCGAGATTCACGACTTATCAAAGATTCTTCACAATATGAACTTTGAGTGAAATGAACTAGGGAATTAACAATCATTAATCAGACTAAAGACTTGGGGGCTTCACTAGCTGAGTGACCCTTTCCCAATTGAACTTAGACTAATTTACTTTCTACTTTGCCAATTTTATGCTATCAACATGAACCTGCATGGTTGGATATTAAATCTAGTCTAAGTAATAGTACATCAAAGGACCCAAAGGTTTGATTGTATTGTGCCACTATATTGCAGCTCTTCCACTAGTTAGACTTGGCCATAGTTAGGAGTGTAGTTTGTAGTGACCAATTATCATCAACGCATAAGAGATGGGTAATCATCGAGGCTCCTCATACCACCTGTAACACAAGAAGATGGTTATTATTAACCAGTTTGGTTGTATTGAATGAAAATTCTTCTGCACAAAGTAGTAAAAAGAAATGGTGATAAGGGGTCGCCTTATCGTATCCCTTTACTTAGAACAAACAATAGAGACTGATGGCCACACACAAGCACAAAATATGATAGCATCCTGACGCACATCATGGTAAGTTGCACACATTGGTATGCAATCTTATTCTCCGTAGCATCCCTTCCAAGAAACTCCATTCTATACGGTCATATGCTTTTGCCATGTCAATTTTTGCTGCAAAGAAGCCATGTTTATGTGTTGTCTTTCTCTTTGTAGTATGGAAACACCCAAAAAAAATACCATGATGTTATCTATAATAATCGTTGAAAGAAATATGCACTTTATGAAGGTAAGATTACTTTTTCAAAGAGAGGCTCATTCGAGTCACCTTTAACACCAATTTATACATGACAATGCACAACCATATGGTCTATATTATTTTTGTGACACCGACTATTTTGTCTTCGATATTTTTGTAATCCACTTATGATTCAAGCTCTTAGTGATGACCATGTTTCAAATACCTGAAGCACCCCACTAACACCTCTTCAACTATCACATTCCAATATTAAAAAAAAAGACAAAAAGACCATATGTTGACGGGAGCTTTCTTTCCCCCATCTGCTTCGTTCAAGGTAGTAAGGACATCCTCTCATGTACCTAGTCTAAAATCGGATTGCTCGTTTATGCCTCACTCGCCGTAAAAATCTATTCAAATTAATTCACCATTCATGTTGTCACTTCCTCCTGTCCAATGAACTATCAACCCGTCTCATCCTTCACGTTCTTAATAGGTTTAGTCTAATATCGAATTGCTCCTTTATGTCTCAGCCGAGGTAAAAATCTATTCAAAATAATTCACTGTGCACTTTGTCACTTCCTCCTTCCCAATAAACTATCAACCCGTCTCATCCTTTGCGTTCTTAATAGGGTTACGCTTCTAACATGTCATGGATTTTATATGGAAATAATTTGTATTCTTGTCATACTCCTTTAGCCAATCGTCCAAGACCATTATTTCCAGTATTGCTCCTCGTTGTCAAGCAAGTCAAGCATTTCATTTTCCAATTTCTTACGCTTCTCCAGTACAACATCCATCTTCAATCACCGACCTAAGGATCATAATGCTCTAGTGATGTGGTCCCTTTACTTTGAAAATTTTGGTAACGCGTAATATACTGAGTCACTTTCATGCGACATTAGTCTAGTTTTGAATAGACATCCAATGCATCTGGGTGTCTCCATGCATCTTCTACAACCACGAGCCAATCATCATGTTTGTCCAAAATGGCTCAAACGAAAATTACCATCCCCATTTAACTTCCACATCATAAGCTCCTCGTGTATCACAAATTAATGGTTGACGGTGAGAACTTGCATGATCGGAATGTGTAACACAACTTGCATCATCAGTCTCCTGCACGCCTTATGCTCTCCCATGTCAAGGGATGTCCATGAAAACCCATATCTTTGAGTCATGCCTTTGTTAGACAGTCCCCAAATTGGCTCATCTCCACTTCATGGGCACATCACCCATCACTCTTATAAATTGCG